ACCTAGGTTGCTTCCATATCTTGGCTATTGTAAGTAAATAATGCTGCAATGAACATAGAAGTGCCTGTATATTTTTGAATTGGTGTTTTTTATTTCTTTGGATAAATATCTTGAAGTGGAATTGTTGACAATATTACGGATATCCCCCATTTCTCCCCCTCTTTGCACCTCTCCACCCAGTTCCCACCCTTTCCCAGGCCTTCACCACACTATTGTCTATGTCCATGGGTTATGCGTATTTGCATACATGTTCTTTGGATAATCTCTTCCCACCCACCTTCCCCTGCTCTGAGGTCTGTCAGCCTGTTCTATGCATCCATGTCTCTGGACCTATTTTGTCTGTCAGTTTATTTTGTTGATTAGATTCTACATATAAGTAAGATCATGTGATATTTGTCTTTCTCTGTCAGCTTATTTCACTTAGCACAATAATCTCCAGGTCCATCCAAGTCCCTCCACGCTGTCGCAAGGGGAAAGAGACACAAAATATTCCATCCAAAAGCAGAATATACATTCTTCTCAAGGGCACAGGGGAGATTTTCTAAAATAGATTATATGTTAGGGCACAAAACAAGGGTTAATAAATTTAAGTAGTTTTAAATCACATCAAGCATCTTTTCTAATTTCATACAATTATGGTCAGAAATCAATTACAAGAAGAAAACTAGAAAAATCACACATATATGGAGATTAAACAACATGATGCCCTAACCCAGTGGTCGGCAAATTGCGGCCCCTTGAGTGTGGCTCTTCCACAAAATACCACGTGTGGGCGTGCACATACAGTGCATTTGAAACTTCGTGGCCACACTCAAGGGGCCAAAGAGCCACATGTGGCTCGTGAGCCGCAGTTGGCCGTCCACTGCCCTAACCGGTTTGGCTCAGTGGTTAGAGCATCGGCCTGAGGACTGAAAGGTCCTAGGTGTGATTCTGGTCAAGGGCATGTACCTTAGTTGCGGGCACATCCCCAGAGGGGGGTGTGCAGGAGGCAGTTGATTGATGTTTCTCTCTCATCGATGTTTCTAACTCTCTATCCCTTTCCCTTCCTCTCTGTAAAAAGTCAATAAAATATATTAAAACAAACAAAAACAGGCTACTTTTCTGTCTTGAAGGAGTGGTGTAGGAGATGAACTTTATTGTTCAACCCTACCCTAGTTCTTGGCTATCTCTCAAACTTTGTGATTGTCCATGCAGCTTTCATTGTTCTAATAGGCTCCCCGTAGCTGAGGATGTGCCAAAACCTGCCAATGTTCCAAAGGGCAGGATCTCAGCACCTAGATACAAGCTGATTGGAAGCCATACCCTCTGGCAGCAGCGTGTGTGTGTGTGTGTGTGTGTGTGTGTGTGTGTATACAATGTAAATTTACTGATTTCAGAGAAGGAGCGATAGAAACATCAATGATAAGAGGGAGTCATTGATTGGCTGCCTCCTTCATGCCCTCCACTGGGGATCAAGCCTGCAACCCTGGGATATGCCCCTGACTGGAATCAAACCCACCACCCTTCAGTCCACAGGCCGACACTCCATCCACTGAGCCAAACCGGCCAGGGCTGGCTGCAGCCTTTAAAGTATGTAAATATACCTAAGCTGCTGTCAGGGAAGAGTGGGAGATGGGTGCTTCCTGTCTGCTCTCTGCACCGAGCCCTGGGGGCTAACCAGTTAAGAACTGTCTTTATTTGCTACAGGCCTGTGGGATCAGCAAATCTAAACACCACTTGGTCACCAGGTGATCAAAGGCTGTCCCCTGTATGGTCACAGATGCTGGGGTGCTAGATATGTGCAAAAGTTTTTCTGGAAAGTACAGCCACCTGGAGCGAGGCAGAGGGACAGCACAAAGATAGTGCTGTCCTCTGTGCTCTCTGCACAGTACTGCAGGCAGCTCCTAGATGTGTGTTAAATTAAAAGCCAGCCCCTCAGGTTGAAGCACTGGAGATTGCAAATAGGCTTATCACACAGAAAGTTGGGGCACCAGATGTGAGGTTCAAACCTTTGCTCCTCTGAGAAACTGGAAGCCATGAATTTTGTTCTAGTTGTGTCTTTACACCAGAGGTGGGTTTAATACCCTGTGTGTCTGTCGCTCCTAACCATTTCATTGTGGGTTTTTTCTTGTTCCCAGTAGTCACTCTAGTTTCTGCATTCCTTTAAGAGAAAATTGTTCTGTATGTAGGTAGTTTTTGTGTGTTCATGAGAGGAGGCGAGTTCAGGAACCTCCTACGTTGCCATCTTACACTAGAACCTATTCATTCTTTAAAAAAAAAACTTTCTTTCACTTCTTCAGTAGGTAATTAATATGGCATATATATTTTTTGTATGTGGACATTAGCACAGACCCTTTTGAATGATTACTAAATATCAGAACAGCAGGCTACTAAATAATACAGTGTTGGATTCACTATTGATATTGGCCAGTTTGGCATCAGCCCCAAACATAATTTTGGTTAGTTACCTCTCAAAATATATCTAATATGAGGATTGGGTCATAGTATGAGTGCAAACCCACTGTTAAACATTAAAAGAAATGACTTGAGCCAGTGGGTCCCTAACAAATTTATATTTACACTAGTGACCTGGTGCATGGATTTGTGCACGTTGAGAGGAAATTAATTAGAAGGTGGCCGGTGGGGCGGGACTGGGCAAGATGGCCCAACATGCCCTGGAGCCAACTTCCCTCAGTCCCTCCCTCTGCCGACAGCACCTGGGATGGTGCTGTGGTGTCTCGAAAGGCGTCTGTGGAGTGAACAAGAGATCCCTCAGGTAGGTGGGGTCCCTCGGCCTGGCCTGTGGGGATGGGGTCCAAACCGGCTCTCCTACATCCCCCAAGGGGTCCTGGAGTGTGAGAGGGCATTCTGCAAAGTTGCTGTCATACAGGATGTGGAACACAAACACAAGTGTGCAGTAAACCAGATTCGGGGCCGACAGTGCCCCAGCAACAACATAACCCAAGGCCGAAGGTGGAATCACGTCACCCACAAGGAATTGGACTCTCTCCTCTGGTTTTGGTGTGCATCTCCTGATAACCGCCACTGCCAAGTCACTGCAGCTCCGCAACTCCTGCATTGAGTGTCTGCCCCCTGGCGGTCAGTGCGCATCATAGCGACCGGTTGAACACTTTGCATATTATTAACCATATATATATACACATACAGTATAAATGTATATCTATAATGTATATAGATATAATACATTTATACTTACCTTGGTGGTTGACCTAAATTTTGTTATTCATTTTGAAAACAAGCTTATTCACCAGATTTTGGGTATATTTAAGTTTTATTCTATGGCACTGAGTAAAGTGTATACTTCCAGATATATTATTTCCTTTTCATCTTCAGAATGAATTTTCTTTAGGTATTATAGAATATTTAATATACATTAGGTTAATTTAACCTTTGTTTTTTAAAAATATTTTTATTGACTTCAGAGAGGAAGACAGAGGGAGAGAGAAAAACATCAATGATGAGAGATAATCATTGATTGGCTGCCTCCTGCACACCCTCTACTGGGGATGAGTCTGTAACCTGGGCCTGTGCCCTTGACCGGAATTAAACCTGGGATCCTTTAGTCTGCAGGCTGATGCTCTATCCCAGCCGTGGGCAAACTATGGCCTGCGGGCCGGATCCGGCCCATTTGAAATGAAAAAAAAAAAAAAAAAAAAGACCGTACCCTTTTATGTAATGATGTTTACTTTGAATTCATATTAGTTCACACAAACACTCCATCCATGCTTTTGTTCTGGCCCTCCGGTCCAGTTTAAGAACCCATTGTGGCCCTCGAGTCAAAAAGTTTGCCCACCCTTGCTCTATCCCCTGAGCCAAACCGGCCAGGGCTAATTTAACCTTTGTATTATTTCACTGAATATGTATAATTTAAGACCTTTATCTGAGTTTGTTGGTAGACATAAAGATTAAAACTAGACTAATTATTATACAAAACTTCCATTAAAATGGTTTAAAAATATTACTTCCTCATTAAACACTTTCTCATATATAAGCAGCTTTGTAAATGTGCGCCATAGGAAACCATGCAGCATTTCTTTTCTGATGAATGTGCTGCAAAGACAATTTCTGCTTTGAATACTGTTAGAAAACAAAGAATCGACTGGTTCACTCCGGCTGTCAGCACACCACCCCCCGGACTTGCCCTGTGACTACGGCGCCCCAGAGCCTCACATCAACGCCCGGATCATGCAGCTGCCCCACAGCGAGCACCACACTGCCTATGTGAACAACCTGAACACCAGGGAGGCGCGGACAAGCACGGGGAGGCGCGGAGAGGGTGACAATGCCACTCCAATGCCTCTTCAGCCTGCCTGTCGTTCAACAGTGGAGGCCACATCAGCCAGCATCTTCTCGTCAGACCTGAGCCCTCGTGGTGGCGGAGAACCCAAAGGGGAATTGCTGAAGTCATCAACACGACTGGTTCCTTCACTGCATTTAGCTGTTTCTGCTGGCGTTCAAGGCTCACTCAGGTGGGAGCTAGCTTGGTTTCCATAAGGAGCAAGGATGCTTCTAGATTGCTGCTTGTTCTAATCAGGATCCCCTTCAATGAACAGGTCTCATCTCATTCTACTTTTGGGGAATGATGTGTGGGAGCATGCTTATTACTTTCAGTATAAAAATGTCAGACCTGATTATCTGAAAGCTATTTGGAATGTAATCAACTGGGAAAATGTAACTGAGAGATACATGGCTTGCAAAAAGTATATCAGCATTACAGAAAGCACGTTATGGCTGATTCTGTAGTAGTGCAGAGTAAACGTTTGAGTAAACATTCTCTTCAGAGAGCTAAAATACCCAGGAGGTTGTATCATCATAAAGCCCTCAAAAGTATCACATCCCTTTACTACTGAGGCCCCTATGGAAGCCATTCTGATCCTGTTCTATTGCATTTATAGATAATCTAGACTTTTACCCTAGTTGTTTAACAATATTAATTTCTTTCCCCCAAGGAAACAAAACTAAAAAAGAACCAATTTAAAGAAAACTTTTACAATATAAAAGTCATTATACAATAATTTCATTTTATTTTCCCTTTATCTTAATCACATACTTTAAGTAAAAAAGATATGAAAGATGTTAAAAACTGGACAACTGAGATAGGCAAGCATCATTAATACCAAAAATAGACATTCAAAATGGTTTCACATCATCACATATTTAAACGTATCTCATTTTCAAATAACTGCCTGACAGATGCACTCTGGTCTGCTAGAAATGAATGGTGTGGTACCGGAGGCTACCTGCACACAACAATGAGGTTGCTGAGAGAAATGGCATCTTTAGAGGTGCTCTCCTGCACGAATGTGGCCATTACAGCCTTTCATTCTGTCAGCGGTCCTTTAAATACCAATGATACTGACGTGACTGCAGGATTCACATTACTTAACATGACTCCCAGATAGTGCTGGCTTTACAGCTGATTCCACAGGCACAGACTTAGGCCAAGTTACAGGATACATAATTTTTCCTATTTTATTTACTGTTTAAGATGTTTTTCAATTAAGTTTGGATGATACTTATAGGCAGTAGCACACAGGTGCCTGCATCCTTGTTTATGGACTCAGCGTCAGCACTGTGAATCACACACTGGGCCGTTCGTCCACTCCTCAGTGTCCAGCACATTGGCATTCATATACCTGGTACAGCAATCAGTAAATATTTACCAGGACCTCTTTAGGATTCCATTTTAGGCTTCTTATAGAAACAAGCCAATTCAAAACATTTTCTAGGCTTTGAAAATTTAATAAATGAAAGGCACTTGCCATTACTGATCATAATTCAAAAAGGTGGTGGTAAATTAAGGCTAAAAGTGGTAATTATTCTGTATGTGCCTACATGTGTAAAATGAGGTCTAAGACAAGGAATTAAGGAATACACTAAAAACAACATGGGAGAGACTATGAAGAATAGGGTTACACTTGAAAATAAAAAAATATGTTTTTCTATCAATCGGAGCTATAAAATATGAGGACATTTTGGGGTTAGGAGGTAAAATGATATTTAAAAAAACAAATCTCTTCCAATATAATAAAGCATAATCCTAATAGGTTTTTGGGAAAACTTATTTTTTAAATTCAATGACCTCTTTTTTGCTCAACTGGAATTTTTACCATCGCACATACCCTGAATTATAATTATTTGATTCTGAACAACTGAGAAACTAAAAGATCTCATTCTTAGATTTATATACTTTTCTTACAAAAATAACTTGTTATTGTGCCAATATTTATCTGAACATGATAGCCTCCAATTAATAATTGGAATGGCTACATTATCAGTATGAGTTATAGTGAAACTGCAGTTATTTTTCCTGTTTGAAAAATGAAGAGAATAGACAATAGTGAAAAACAACAATTATGAAGAAAAACAGGCAAATGGAAATAAAGGATACACAACAAAAGAGCCCAAAAGGCAAAAACATAAATATTAGAAAGATGCTTCAAAAGTTACTTAGTATCACAGGAAAAACCTTTATGAAAAATATTTAGAAAATAAATTAACACGTATCTTTAAAATATAGAACTCTAAGTGCTCCATATGTTTGGGATACTCTACAGTGACCTGTTAATTGCTGTACATATTTTTTTTTCAAGGAATTTCTGGATCCTGTAGAAATCTATAGAATTTGCTTACTCACTGTTACAAAAATTTTTCTCAACTGTAGAAAATTAAAATTAATTCTTTAACCTTTAAGAAAAGAATGAAGAATCACTTCACTATAATACATCATGAAAATAGGGTATCTGTTTATTTTGCCACATCACATTTTTTTGAAAATGAAATATATGATTAGAGAATCAATTTCAGAGAATTTTTAGAAGAACAGGTGATTGAAAACCAAGTTCTCTTTTTTCAGGTGAGCCACAACACATTAAGTGATAGAGTTCACTTTGTACCACTTAGACATAGTCACTAGCAGAGCAAAATCATGTTCAAGCCAGCCAGCCCAAACATCATTTCCAGTAGTCAGCAATCTATGGCTCATGGCTGAATGTGACTTGTGGTCTATTTGTAGATGGCCCTCAGCTAAGAGTGGTTTTTATATTTTTCAAAGGGTTGTAAACAAAGCAAAACAGCATATGTGACAAAGAACTGCATATGGTCTACAAAGCCTAAAATATTTATGACCTGACACATTATAGAAAGCTTGCAGACCTTTCATTCATACCAATGTTGTATAGAATTTAGACAGTGCAATTACAAGTCCAATATAATGCTCACTTATTCCCACCATGAATGTAGTAACAGTCTAAAAAGATATCTTCTGATGTCATTTGTCAGAATTTCCAACTTTTTCTTCATCTTCACTATCATTAAAGTTCATCCTTCAACAATATAAAAGTAATTGAAAGAAAAAAGAAACATGAGATTATATTAAAAACAAGATAAAATAGTATAAGCTAACCAAACTTATCTTCTCAAAAATAATTACTCTATATTTCTTATTTAATGAGCCCACCACATAAGAACCTCTCCTACCTCTAACAATGGTAGAGGAAAGGGTATCACATAGTTCTGACCCAGGCCGATTATAGCTTTACACATTCGAAGTCATATTTTGATGTGCTCTTTAACTTAATTTCAGTTATGATATTTGATTTATGAGTAACAGTGTTTGCTATCTCAAATGTTTAATGAGAAAGTCACAAAACATCTTGAGAAAACAGCTGAACAAACTATCAGAAAAACATTTTTGTTTACTGAAACCAAGAAAATAAAGATTCATAACTATCTTTCCTAACTGTTAGACTTGGAGAAAACATAATTCCCGAAGCAGGCTGTCAGACTTTCTAGTTGGGGTCTGTAGTTCTAATGATTCTGCGGAGCCAGGTGTCCCCAGCCCTTTGCCAGCGCTGTGCTGTTCTTCTGCCCTTTCACTGTGGAGGGAAGGAATCCAAGAACCCTCCTGCAATTGTATGAAATTCCATTCAGAGGCACTCTAGCATTCAGGGACTGTTCGGTCTAAGTGCCCTAGAATGACATGATTTAAAGAAGAAAAGTAATAAGCAGCAGGAGAAAGGCTGCAACTGCTTGATGGGTTAAAAAATCAAGGAGAGGCCAGGCGGTCCATGGTTCCAACACATCCCGACTAAATAAGAACAGAAGAGTATCTGCTATCCAAATGTGTCTGTCAGGAGGCTCCAGGATATGTATTCCTTTCCTAACAAGTCACTGTTTTACTGACATTTGAACAAAATGTAAATAATTTATAGCCATAATTTCTTAAGTGATTTTACTTGTCCAAATTTCTAAGCATTTCAGTGTTTATAGGCTACATTCTGATTCTCGTATTTTCCAAAGAAGAATTTCCAACTACTTACTATTTTTTGAAGCTTCATTTTCCCTGCTTATTCATACATATAAAATACAGGAAGAATAACTTTAGATAATGTTTGCAGTCAGCTTTAGACTTAGTCCTTACCTTATTTCTCATTCCATGTTTTTGGAGATTTTCCAATTTTTCATATATTAAAGCAGCAATCTGTTTTGCATCTCTGGAGTCTATTTGCTCTCCCCCAATATTTCTCTAAAATTAAAAACACTTTTCTTATAATCTTTTAAGTATCTAATCAAAACATGACATTTGTACCTCAGAAACTTGAATAAAATAGTCCTTAAAATTCTAAGTGCTCGAAACTCAAATTTCTTCAAGGAAATAATGCTACAAAAGCACAGTTAACCCATTATTTACCTGAAATAAATACTGATACTGTTATGAGAACGTGGGAAATATGCATTAACTCCAAATGCCTGGAAACATTTAAACTGTGTAAGAAAAGATATGCCCAGAGGACTAAAATCATTCTAATCTAACACAGTCTCTGACACAGACAAAACCATGACTGACTAACCATTGGGAAAGCAATGCCTATCTCCTGGCTCTCCTCTGCCCACAGCAGGAAGGTGGCTGGGAGGGGACAGGTGCATGTGACCAACTCTGCTCCCTTGGGATCTGGAGCCACCTGTTTCATTCCTCCTGGAGAGAACCCCACAATTATGTGTTAGGATTTTGTTTCGTCATATAACTGCCCATCTGGGTTTGCATTGCTGTTTATTCCAATCATCATTCTACTTTGGCCTCTTCCTCTAGCCTGGACTTCTGGGTGCCAACCCTGCCTTTCAGTTCGGACAGGGATACTCTGGGTCCTAATCTGTCCTCTGGACTCCTCTAGACATATGGTAACATCATATTTTCTTTTTTTTTAAATATATGTGTGTGTGTGATATATATGTATTTTAATTTAAATTCTTTATTGTTAAAAGTATTACATGAGACCCCCTTTTCCCCCATTGACCTCTCCCCGGCCGCTCCCACCCCACAGCACATGAGCACATGCCCTCACCCGCCTATTGTCTGTGTCCATTGGTTATGCTCATATGCATGCATACAGGTTCTTTGGTCTCTTAGCCCCTCACCCCACACCTTCCCTCATAGGTTGGACAGTCTGTTCGATGCTTCTATGTCTCTGGTTCTATTTTTGTTCATCAATTTATGTTGTTTATTATATTCCAAAAAATATATATTATGAGCACATGCCCTCACCTGCCTATTGTCTGTGTCCATTGGTTATGCTCATATGCATGCATACAGGTTCTTTGGTCTCTTAGCCCCTCACCCCACACCTTCCCTCATAGGTTGGACAGTCTGTTCGATGCTTCTATGTCTCTGGTTCTATTTTTGTTCATCAATTTATGTTGTTTATTATATTCCAAAAAATATATATTTTTTACTTATTTCAGGGAGGAAGAGAGAGAGAGAGAGAGAGAAACATCAATGATGAGAGAGAATCATTGATTGGCTGCCTTCTGCATGCCTTACACTGGGGATCAAGCCTGCAACTGGAGCATGTGCCCTGATCGGGAATGGAACTGTGACCTCCTGGTTCATAGGTCGCTGTTCAACCACTGAGCCACCTAAGCTGGGCAATATTTTCAAAGAGCTTCCTCTATGGCCTGATCATTTCTATGATTGGTCATTTTATTGATATTTCTCTAACATCATTTGACATGATGTCACCCGCTTCTCAGCTGTTCTGAGAATTGGGAAGCAAAGCTAGTGATTCCAAAGGAATGAAGATTCAGCCTCAGGTATAAAACATTTTCTCTCTCAAGTGATGCTTACCCTATGCTGTTCTTAAAACAGTTAGCTGCTTGGACTAATCAAAATCCTTCACTGAAAAATCTAAATGTCTGACAATTCTAGATTTCTGAAATTCACCATTTAATTTATCTATTTAAATATTTGGCTCTATTTAAAAATGTATTATAATTACCAATAAATAATGAGACCTTAATCAGATATTCTTTCTCAAAAAGTTTATATTAAAATATTTTAAATTATTAATTTCATGTTTTATCAGAAAACATGAATATAGCACAAAGAAAATATTTTCTCATAGATCTAGTGCCAATAATGTCACTCTCTTACTTGGGAAGACAGCAAAGGTCACAAGTACTTCCAGTTAGCAATTACACTGGCCGATGCACGTACACTTAAACATTTTATTTATTTTTTTAGAGAAAGGGGGGGGTGGGAGGGGAAGAGAGAAAAACAAACATTGATTTGTTGTTCATGCATTCATTGGCTTATTCTTGTATGTGCCATAACCAGAGACTGAACCTGCAACCTTGGCATATTGTTACCACATTCTAACAATTGAGCAACCTGGCTAGGGCCAGACATATGCTTTTGTATTAGTAATCACAAAAGTTATCACCTGAATTTGAATTTTAAGACCCACTGGTTAGATGTCTAGTTTCTTGTTGGGGGAAAAAAAAAAGTTATGGACCTATAAAAAAGGAATTATGACTGCACCAACTTTTATAGCCTAAATCATTCATTAATAAAGATTCCATAAGATAAATACTCTGGTTATTTCAAAAGGATAGTATACTATCCTTTCCTGGAAAAAAATCTATACTAATAAAAACCTAGGTGGTCCTCGTGCCGCCACAAGATGGCTGGCAGGGGAGGGCAGTTGGGGGCGATCAGGCTGGCAGGTAGAAGTGATTAGGGGCAATCAGGAAGGCAGGCATGTGAGTGGTTAGGAGCTAGCAGTCCTGGATTGTGAGAGGGATGTCTGACTGTTGGTTTAGGCCTGATCCCACAGGGCAGTCGGACATCCCCTGAGGGGTCCCAGATTGGAGAGGGTGCAGGACAGGCTGAGTGACCCCCCCCCCCCGCCCGAAGGTAGTGCACCGGGCCTCTAGTTAATCATAAAGGTACTATATGTTAACTCTATAAAAGTAGGAAATATAAAACTTCACAGAAAGTAAATAATTACCTCGAATTCTATCACCCATAGAAAACCACTATTAGTATTTTGGTTTGTCTCTTGAGTAATTTTCCTATTAATGAGTGTAAACATTTTAAGGCAACGGAGACCATATCAATTGTGAGACACAAAACCTTTCAAAATCATTTAGTGTATATATAAGAAGGAAGGACCGTGTTTCAATAATATGCAATAAGATAATGACAAAGGGAAAAGAAACTAGAAAAGAGCATTACTCAGTCCAAACAACAAATCTTTTGAGCTTGGCCTGCTAAAGGAAAGGAACATGGAGGAAAAACCTGTACGTACCTTTGATCTTTCGTAGGGAAA